GTGGTCTTCCTCTCTTCCTATTTCCCTCCACCTTTCCTAACATTATTGACTTTTCCAATGATTTATGCCTTCTCATGATATGTCCAAAGTACAACAGTGTAAGTCTTGTAATCTTGGCTTCTAGGGATACCTCTGGCCTGATCCGCTCCAGGACTCATTTGTTTGTCCTTTTGGCTATCCATGGGATCCTCAGCACTCTTCTCCAGCAGGACATCTCATATGCATTGATTTTCCTCCTATCTTCTTTCTTGACTGTCCGGCTCTCACATCCATACATAGGGAATACGATGGCTTGTAGTGGCATATGCCAACATAAATCAACCATATAGTTATGTACATCTTTTTTGTGCATGTGATCATTATGGAGATTAGTATTTCCTTCCCACTTCTGCAAAAACCAAAGCCCCCCTACTTGACTTACCCATACATTCCTACAGACCCCCCCTCTAGTGATTCCATGGCTGGTGGAGAGGGGGAAATCAGGTAAGTTTCCAGCTATATCCCCATAGCCAGACATGAAATGGATACATCATCTGCTGGGATTTCCAGAATACCCTGGCAGGACCTCATCAGAGGATGTATCCATTCTGTGCCTTTATTATGGGGAGATTATTTTTTTTTTTTTTGTAGGTGGGAGAGGATCAGACAAAAGCTTCTCTGATTCCCTCCCCCGCACTTTCCACCAGGCATGGAATGACCATTTCACCCCCATTTACCCCATTCAGCAGGGCCTCAAACTGTCTCTGTAGCTTTTTATCCCTTGTAACATGTTTATGCACTATAACATTTTTATAGGGAGAAGGAGGTGTTGACCAGTAACTTCATTTCCACCAGCATAAATTTGTGCACCTAAATCTAGACTCAGACTTATATAAGGAACATAAATCATTACAGTTTGTGCTCAAAACAGCTCTCTTTAGAAGTTCTGAGGAGGTCACAGGAGAATTGGGTATCACATTTGCACACACTGCCAATATGTGGAGGATATGAACTCAGTCCATTTGTTGCATCCTGGGACTTTGGATTTCAAAGCAGAGAATGAGAGTTCAAGGCAGGCATACCCATCTGTCTTCATATAATAAAAAAACCACTTCTGACCATTCCACTTTCCATGTTCTCAAAAGATTCTATATGCTTTACCATGACCAAGAAGCAAACTGTATAAAATGGCACCGGCAGAGATTGAAATGCAGAATACACTGTTGCCATTCCTTAGAATTCTTTCATTCCTTGCACCCTGGAACACAACTTTCCTCCTCTAATTTTTCTCAACACCCCACAACAAAAATGTTTAATAGATATATTAAAACAGGCCCAAATGTGGCATGTGGGCCTTATATGCCACTTTCAGGCACAAGAATGCTTCAGAAGGTAGAACCAAGTCTAAGTTACAGGAGGGTAAATTTAACATTAGAAAGAACTTCTTGACAGTAAGAGTGGTTCAGCAATGGAACCAACCACTTAGAGAGGTGATGAGGTGTCCTCTCAGTGTCTTCAGAAAAAGGCTGGACAGCTACCTGCTGGAGATGATCTAGCTGGAGATCCTGCACTGAGCAAGGGGTTTGACTAGATGACCCATAGGAATCCTTCCAACTCTGTCTAGAATGATAGAGTTGGAAGGGCCATCCAGTCCAACCTCCTGCCATGCAGAAAGACACAACTTATGAGAAGGACTCCCAACAGTTGGCCATCCTTCCTCTGTTTAAAGACCTCCAAAGAAGGAGAGTCCACCACACTCTGAGGAAGTGTGTTCCATGGTTGAACATCTCTTACTGTCAGGAAGTTCTTCTTAATGTCAAGGTAAAATCTATTGTACTGTAGTCTAAATTCATTGCTCTGGGTCCTGTTCTCTGAAGCTCTAGAAAACAAACTTGCTTCATCTTCAGTATGATATCCTTTCAAATATTTAAACACTGCTATTATATCACCTTCTCTTCTCCAGGCTAAACATACCCAGCTCCCTAAGTCTCTCCTCATAGGGCATGGTTTCCATTTGGTCACCTTCCTATGGACACGCTCTAGGTTCCAATGATTCTAAATCCCCAGGTTTATCAAGAAAGAGAGGAAACAAGAGGAAATTTGATCTTTAGAGTATGTTAATAAACAACATTGCTTGTTTCCGTTACTCCTTTCAGTACCAGGTTCCAGCCAATCAATCTACATAGTCTTTCTTCCTGTAAACATTTGGCTCAAATACCAAAACATAGATCTGTACTGGTGCTATTCTTTGCTGTATTCATGTGCCTTTAAGTTGGCTTCAACTTATGGTGACGTTATCATAGGGTTTTCTTGGCCAGATTTGTTCAGAAGAGATTTGTCATTGCCCTCCTCTGAAGCAGAGAGAATGTGACTGGCTCAAGATTAATTAGTGGGTTTCCATGGCTGGGCAGGGATTTGAACCCTGGTCTTCTAAAGTTCTAGTCCAGCACTCAAAACCACTGCACCACACTGGCTCTATTATCATTCCTAAATGCCTGCTAAATATTCGTTTTGCCTTCTCAATTGAGATCTTCCCCATTACCTACATTTTGCACAATGATTTCTGTATGCTCCATCCCATGCCCCCCACCACAGATATTAGCCCGGTGGGAGTTGTGGGCCAAGAACTTTGAAGGGGCTCAGATCAGGAAAAACTGATGTAGCAGAACACTTTGATTCCTGCTGTAATTGCAAGAACTATGCCAACAGGGCCAGGAGGGAGATTTATAGAGATTGGAAAGTCTACTTTTTGAGTGCAATTTCCTCCTTCAATTCTTGGTTCTTAATGGGGTTGCCAGGGGCAGCAGACATACTTAACGGTTTACACAATGGTATGTCTGCTAGGGAGGTATAGAATATTCACAACTTTTGTTGCCCTTAATTGGAATAGATATCTTGACATATTGTGAAAATGTGTGAAGATAATGGTCAATTATTGTGAGGTGTTTATATATAGGCACTTGCATTTTAGAAATTTTGCAAATTCATTTGCAAACAACAACAACCTTCTCTTACTATTTGCACAAAAACCAAGCATTGGCACAGAATACAGTGCAATTGGAGCAAAAGACTGTCCTCCTCTTTGGGCCTTTGCAGACTGCCAGAAATAGTGCAAATTGAGTCCAGTTTAATTGCCCTGGCTCAGTGCTAGGGAATCATGGGAATTGTATTTTTTTTCTGAGACATTGAGCCTTCTTTGTCAGAGAGCTCTGGTGCCACAATAAACTACAGTTCCCGTGATTCCCTAGCACTGAGTCAAGGCAGTTAAAGTGGACTCAATTTGCACTATTTCTGGCAGTCTGCAAAGGCCCTGTGTTTTCTGTGCTTGGTTTTTGCATACATTTTTAAAAAATCTGAAATGCCTCCCCCAATGTGCGGGAACTCAATGGGAAGAAAATATGTGGAATCCTTTGTTCTGGCATGCTAGTACAACGTAAGTGAAGATGTACATGTTTATTAAGTTCCCCCTTTTACTTCCTCTCAATGACTGTCATTCAGTCTGATGGAAAAAGTAAAGCACTGAAAATTCTATTTCAGGACAAATCCTGCTCACCATTTCTGGCACTAGAGAGTCCTCCCCCCCCCTTCGCCTTCAGTGAGGAAGATTGCCCATGCATGGCATGTGATGCCATTTGTGAAGAGTTCCTGCAGAGCAAAGGCCTTTCCAATTCATAGACCCTGTCCTTCATAATGATGGGTATTTTGCTAGTGGTCTTTAATAGGCTGTTTTTTTCAGTGAAGCAGGATTTGTATCCCAAATGGATGGAGCTTATGAAAGGCGCAATAAAGCCTCCTATTCAGAGCCACATATATATTTATAGACATATAAATGAGGTTTAATGCCATTGAGAAGTCACTGTAAAATAGCAAAAGACTTCATCCAGGTCTATACATCATGCACAGATCAATGTAGCAGCAGGCAACATGCCTGATTTTTGGCAGCAGATAATGTGGACGCCTGCCCTTTCTATATACATAACACGCGCAACAATCAAAGCAAACAGAGCCAGGACAGGGAGAGGTTGAAAGGTCTTTATTGCATACAGCAAAATGAGGACGCTGTTGGCACATTTCACATCTCTGCCCCCTTGGGTGCTTGCAAAATGGTACTCTGGAAGCGGAATAGTTTGGAAACAACACAAATGTTGAATGTTAATAACATGAAAGTTCACACTGCCTGACTTTTTTGTGATTCTTGGAAGCAGCAGTTGTATGATAGGAACACAAGTATGACTTACTTAATTGTGCTCCTATTCTCAGATTAAGGTGGGAAGACTTGGCACTCTAGGGGAAAATTTTCAGCCCCCAAAACACACTCAGCCCCTCCCTATAAAACCAGATATTGCTTCAAATCAACTTCCCATGATGTATGAAAATAATCAAACTTTTTGGAATTTTGAGTCAAAACAAGCAAGACAAGCCCTGTACCTTGTTTTTAAGGCAAACTTGCTGTTCCTGAAAACTTCTAGGAGCAGAAATAATTATTCATAAGCTCCATCCATTTGGAATACAAATTTCTGTTTCCTTGCAAGTGAAAACATGATCATGAAAGCTTTTGGGGCCTAATTGATTTTAACAAAAACCTTTACATGTACATGGTTTTAATTCATTTAAAACTCTTTTAACTCTTTTGATCTGTCTTTTTAATTTGCTAAATTGTTTAATTTTTTTTTTAGTCTTTTAAAATCATTTTTATTTGTCATAATGCCTTTATTGTATGACAATTTGAGATATATGGATAGAGGGCAGGATGTAAATATTAAATAGTAATAGTAAGAAGAAAGTTTATGGATATAATATTTAATGTATGGATAGAGGGCAGGAAATAAATAAATAAATAAATAAATAAATAAATAAATAAAATTTATCTACCTGGAAAAATGTTGGGGGGAGGGTTGCAGGGTACAGAGGGTACAGGGCAATTTTTTGCAACCCCTGAACTCATATACACTCCCCTCAACACTTGTGACCCACAGTCCACCATCCTAGAAGACCCACAGCATATGTTGATGCTCCATCAATGCTATAATATAATAGAATAGATTGAGGCATTTTTTATTTGGAGTGATTTATGTATTACAGGGGTGGGTAACTGTGATAGGGGCAGATTTTGCCCCACTGGTGTGCCACACCACTGCATTTTTCTTTTTACAATCTTTGGCTGAAACTGTGACCCAGAAGTGACCAGATAGCTACTTCTAGTTTTTCACTTTTTGTATTTCTTTTGGTCTTTAAAAGATTTCTGGGTTTTTAGGGAGTTGGGAAAGATGGTAGAAAGTAAACCACTATGTTTTGAGACATGTTTACTGCAGTTGGGGTCACTGGGGGCAATGTTTTAAATGTGGAAATCCATAAATTTTCTTCTTGAATGCCTACCCAGGACTCAAAAAGTAGGAATGATTGAGGGTGGAGCACTTAGTAGTCCCTACATAAGACTGAGAGCTGCATTTTGTTTAGGGCAAATACTGCAGAAATCTGGTCTGTGCACTTGGGTAGGGACAAAGAAGCAAATCCACACAGCATCTCTGATGTTTTATTCTTATATGATTTTCTGATATCACATAAACAGAGTGAAGGACAGTCTATCAGAATTTTAATAAACATATTTTAAAAATGGAAAATGTGAACCAAGAACTGTACCCTGCCTACCAGACGATGCTGTGTAATGTGTAAAATGTTAAAAGATCCTACATCGGCCCCCATTCACCAACTGCACTGCTGCCACATCAGGTAGGCAGCAAAACTGGAGCATAGAAAACCACAGCTAGTTTACTATCCATGGTTGGCAAGGTTCCTCCCAGTTCCCTGTCTGGAAATATCTGGTAAGGTTCCTCTCATTTGGGTAGGCCACAGGTTGTGTAGCCAAGAGGGAGCAAAGCTGGTCTTGCTCTGCCTAAGATGTTTCGTTAGGAGTTCTGGGAGTTGTCAAAAAGTAATGTTTTTCAAGCTCTTCCCAGGATTCCTTGAAGTTTCAACAAAAATGAGATGGACATAACATTTCCAGGTTTCAGGATTTGGCCTAAATTCTTAGGATTTTGACTATTTTCTTGGATTTTCCAGGGGAAGAGGGTATGAGGATCAGAGTTCTTTCTGTTTAACTTGAGAGTCTTTCCATCCACTCCCCATTACTAAATATGTCACCTTTTCCCCTGCAGTAAATGGACACAACCAAGTTCTTCCTCTGACTCAGTGGTTATAATTCTGTCTCCATCAGACCCCATCTTCTGTGTCTTGAGATCTGAGCTTCTGAGGCAGCTCTGGGTCAAGAGACTCCATGCCCCAGTGGCTCTGTCAATTTCTTGTAGTGATTATGTTGCTAGGGGCAGGAAAACTACCTGGCCTCTATATGGTCCTCCATCCAGGATGAAGACGATTGTGCTCGGTCATCCAGGTACAGATATTCCTAGACAGAGAACTGGGGAAGCTTTCTGTGGTCTTCAGCTCTGAGTTTCACCAAGGGTTTGCCAAGGTTTCTGTGAAGATGGGATGGCATGTCAACTCTAGGTAGCCCACCCATCTCCAATTTTCTATATTTAATTTCTAAAATGTTAGCGGCTGTGTTCTGGTCTGCTGGAAGTCACAGGAGGAAAAGAAACAGAGTCCTTTTTGAGTTCTTAAGAAATGCAGAATAATGAAATTTCTGATCCTTTAATCTTTTTTCTGTTTTGGAGTGGAAATATAAACTAGGGAATTTTATCCTCTTTTAGTTTTTATTCTGTCATAAGGCAATTAGAATTTCCTGCTCCACACTTTTGTTGCCATTTGTGTCCCCTCATTAAAAAGCAAAAGCAAAATGATTAAAACCAAACTAAAGCAACAACAATAAAGCTCATGATCTCTCTCTGCTTTGAATTCTTTTTTCTTCGGAAAAGTGCTGTCTGGTTGGCTTACTCAGTGTTGAGCACTTGGCATTCTGTGCAAGCACAGAGGGGGACAGAATGGTCAAGATCTATATCCTCAGAGGCCACGTTTTGTTCCAGACATTGATGTAAGGTGAGTAGTACTGGCATGGATGGTCAGACTTAATAATAAAGTTGTTATTAAGTTAGCAGTAAAGCCTCTGTGGTGTTCAAATGTTAGTTAACAACTTGTCAGATCTGATGGGCAGAAGAGGAATGAAGAGTTCCAGTCCATATTTCCTTCCACACCCTTTCTATCAGCCAGTGGACTCAGGCAGAGTAAGGGAACAGGTCTGCTTTTCCATACTTTTAGTCCATCTCTTTGTTTCCCCAAGTGAAAAACAGGTCCCTGTCCTGTAGAGGATGTCTTATTGGAAAGACCTCTCCTCCTTCTCCAAAGTAGACATTCAAACATAACAAGTGTCTTAATTTTTAACAGGGACACTAGAGCTTGGGAAATGGCATCTTTGGCCTGCTGACTCTCAGAAATCCTCAGACAGTATGGACACTTGCCTGTTTTGCCTGGGGAGTTCTGGGTGTTATCATTTTTTTTAAAAAAAATATACCATTCCCAA